TCAACACATTATCATTATACCAGATTAGAAAATAACTCATTCTTTTTTAGTTAGTAAATGCCTCTCTATTAAAAAAATAAGGCAGTGTTCATAAAGTGTATATTTGAGTGGAGAGTACTCTGCTAAATTAAAATCAAATGTAGTATTAGAACACATACGTGTATTTTTTTAGCTTTTATGTATAATGTGTGAATTTATCTTATAACTCAATAATAGGTTTAATGTTTCTGTATTCTGCATATATAATACTTCCCCCAAAATCCCCAACCACTGCTATCAAGTCAGTCCTGTATGGTTTTCAAGACAAGGCTGGACAGCCATGACTTTCTCCCGTGAAGCAGCTGGTGGGTTGCAGCTGCTGTGGTTAGTAGCCCAATGCCTAACCACCAGAGCTGTTGATAAATCACTTAGGGTTAAAATGTACACACAGTTTTATACTTATAGCTGAAAAGGTTTTGTTTACTTTCTGCCTCTATATCTAGGGGAAAAGGGTGGGTAGGGGGGAATCTCTTAATTTTTTTACATATGTTACTAAGGCAGTGTTTGGAGGATTTTCCCCCCTGAAATATGCATTGGTAAGTATTTACTAAAAAACATAATGTATACTTACAAAATAATTTATTTTTAAATTAAGATTTATTTTAAAATTAAAAACAGTAAATTCATACTATTAGATTTTAATGTTATGCCTTTGATGAACAGAGTTACGTGCTATATTTAAAGAGACAGAATAATTTTATTGTTGTGTATATATTGTTGAGATAGTTCCAACCCATAGCGGCCTGATGTACAACAGAAGAAAGCACTGCCCCATCCTGTGCCATCCCTTTAACCAGTGTGATGTTTGAGTCCGTTGTTGTAGCCACTGTATCATTCCATCTTATTGAAGGTCTTCCTCTTTTTTTTGCTGACTCTCTACTTTGCCAAGTATGCTGTCCTCTCCAGGGACTGGGTCCTCCTGATAACATGTCCAAAGTATGTGAGAAGTGTCTCCATCCTTGCTTCTAAGGAACATTCTGTCTATATTTCTTCTGAGGTAGATTTGTTTGTCCTTCAGCAATGCCATATTCAGATGCATCGATTCTTCTGTCTTTATTCATTGTCCAGCTTGCAGTGACACATGAGGTGACTGGAAATACCCTGGCTTTCCTCCTCGGAGTGACATTTGTTTTTTAACTTGAAAGAGTTTTGGGCAATAGATTTGCCCAGTTCAATACATCTTTAGAAGTATGGTCAATTATACCTTGCATAAATTTTAAATTTCTGTTTATTGTTTATTATTAATAGCATTATTTAACTTATTTGCTCTAGGATTATGTTTTGCATGCATGTGTAGATTTCCTGGTATTTTCTTCATGCATAAGCATGTCATTTATTAATAGATTTGTATTTTCTCCTTTCCAGTCTTTGCATTTTATTTCTTTCCTATTGCACCGCTAGGCTGTTAAGTAGGAGCAGTGAGAATAAATGGCCTTGTTTTATTCCCAGTTTTAAGGGGAAAGATCCAATTTCTGCTATCACATATTGTTGACTGTAAGATTTTTTTGCTTGCTTTTCTTTTTTTGATAAGTAGCAGGTATTACCCCCCCACACACAAAAAAAACAGATTTTTTTCCCCCAAAGCTATGTATTTAAATTTTTTTACAAAACAACCTTATCACTTTTAAAGTACTCTCCATTACACTTAATACAGTTGTAAAATCTGCAATTCCATTCTTGGAAACATTTTTCAAACTCATCTGTTTGGATGGCTGAGATCCCTCCACCACCACCACCCCCTGTTTCTTTCTTCACCTCTTCTATGTAGTCAAATTGCTGTCCTTTGGCGTCCCTCTTCATGCACAGGAGCAAAAAGAAGTTACATGGAGTCAGGTGAGCCAGGTGCAGGGGAAAAGAGAGGCATGCTGTTTTTGCCAAAAACTGGTGCAGTGAGATGGCTGAGTGAGCAGGTGCATTGTCATCGTGGCACAACCAGTCCCCGGTCTGCCATAATTCAGGGCTTTTTTGTCACACACTTTTACGCAGTCTTTTCTGAACCTCTAAATAAAAAGCTTGATTGGCAGTGACATGCTGGAATGCACTCCAGATGCACCATGAGTCGACATTTTCACCCATTTGAGAAGTTGACAGGGGTCCAGAACAAGGTTTGTCATCAATCGTCATTTAACCTTGTTTTGTAATGAGAAAAAACTCACACACTTGAGTTTTTTCCATAGCGCTGTCCTTGTAAGCTGTGTTCAACATCACAACAGTTTGTGTAGCATTTTTCCCTAGCAGCAAACAAATTGACAGCCAGATGCTGTTCTCTTAAATCAGCAGTCACCAAAAACAAGGTTGGAGCGAAACTGCTTTTATGAAAAAATTCAGTGGCCAGAAAGAACCTTCCCAGGAGACACCACTAGGTGCACTAACTCAGAGCAAGTTGCTAGATGCTCCCCCACTGGGGAAAGCTCTGCTCTGCCCAGCCCAATTCTGGGTTTGGGGGAGTACTGCCTCTTATTAAACTCAAGAATTTCTCATCTAATTTGCTGATTTTTTAAAATATCAAGTACAACGATGGTTTATGTTAAAGCTTATTTACTTTTTTTATTTACTTTTTATGGCTCATTGAGATGATTACATGAATTTTTTTTCTTTGTTCTCTCAATATGGCGAATCGTATTGATTTTCCAACTTGAAAAGGCCTGGCATTCTCAAAAGGAGTCCCACTTATCATGATATATTGTCCTTTTTATAGTTTTCCAAGTTTATTGCTATTTTCTTGAGGGTTTTGTGCCTGTCTATAGGAGGATTGTGCAGATATTGTTCTGCACTGATGTGACCTAGTGATAGTTGACCTCGAACGGCCCTGTGCCCTCCCCACGGGGTTGCTACATTTTATGGCGGGTTTGCCTATAGATTCTGACTGGTCTTATTTACAGATAACCTCCAGCTCAAGGAACAGCCAGACACATGAATGATTCATCTTATATGGTAGCTCCTTTACAACTGCTCCTTAATGGAGGGTAGGGGGTGGGGGGAGCACATTTTCTACCTGGAGAATGTATTTGAAAACATTTCTGTTTTGGTAAAATGGAGATCTTTCTCAAAATAGGGCTAGTTTCCCATGCCCCGCGTTGCAATTTTAGAAATAAGGCGAAATATACTCTACCAAGTCTTCAGTTTATCACACAAGAAAACACTCTTTGATGGTTACCAGTGTGAAGGGAAAGGCAATCCATGATAAAGGAGATCTCAGCTCAGAATGCTTCCAAGTACAATAAGAGCAAAATGCATTAATGATAAATACTATTGCATATACAATCCTGCAATTATTGTAATAATAAGCAATAACCGATAAGCAGATAAAATAGATAATATGTAAGCTGAATGGGTGTGGGATGGCATGTGCAAATACACCCAAAGCATACATAGGGAGAAGAGACGTCTACATACATATTCATAGGTACTGCAATTATACCAAGTATATAGTAGAGAATACAGGGAACAAAGTTGTGTATTCTTCTTAGCCATAACCAAACACCTTGAAAGACTGAGTCAGTGAGCTTGAGGATTGAGACCCAAAGTGTCAGGAGACATCTAGGTCAATGGGCATAACATGGTCCATAAAGACAATGTTCTACATTCTACTTTGATGATAGCAACTGGTTCTTAACAGCCAGTACGTGACCATCCACTGTACAACGATTGGTCTTTCCCAACTTACACAAAGAAAAATGAAAGAAATTAGACTCAAGGAAATTATTAGTCCAAATGCATTGTGCAAACCACACCTCTGTGCACCTGAGACCAGAAGAACTGTCTAGTGCCCAGCCACCAATGTCAGCCACTATGATCAGAATTACAATGGAAGATCCTGAACAGAGGGGGAGAAAAAATGTCAAACAAAATTCAAAATTGCAAAGACAAGCAGACTTACTAGACTAATAAATGAGTGGGGCAGCCCCCATGAGTATGGCTCTGAGACTGCCTCTGGCTCTGAGACTGCCTCTGGCCCTCTCCTGTGGATCACCTTCCAGCCACAAACTAGGCCTGAAAAGTAAACAGCCACACCTATGAGGAGTATCTGCTCAGAGCAATGTACCAAACAAGACCAGTCGGGCAGCAGCATTTTCCCAAAATCAAAGTTCCTAGGGCAGAAAGAGGCAGGAGAGGCGAATGAAAAGAGGCAAATGGAAACAGGGAGCCCAGGGAGTGAGAAGAGGGATTTTATACTGAGGGGATTTGCAACTTAGGTCAGAAAACAAAATATATAAATTGTTGAAAGGGAAACTATTTTGCTCCATCAACTTTTAGCCAACCCACAATAAAATGTTTAAAATATATAAATTTGATTTAATTTTATAGAACAACTAACTGTAATGCTAAATGCACTCACATTTATGGTATTTAATAACGTTTCCCAATTATAATAACAGATACAGTTGGCATAAATGAGAAAAAAACATACCTGATACTTGATAAAGCTGATGCCCTAACCCTATAGATGATGCCGTACCTGTGTTTGTATTTTCTAAAACAAACTTCCTTGTTTTGATGTGTGCCACACCTTCTGCCGCCCCTCCGTCAGCTTGGTGATGTGCACCCCACTTTTAGGATGCTTTCTGCTTTCTTTCACTTTCTCTTATGTCGCTTCTTTGTTCTTGTAGGTATCTTCGTTAAAGCCTGATTTCCCTTTCCTGAAGCCTGTTATCGGTTTGCCTCAGTCTCTCAGCTCCTTGAGAAAAAGAACTTGGTTGCACTCAGCTCCTTATTCCCAGCTCCCAACACAGTGTCTGAAGCTAGTTAATAAATATTTATAGAAATGAGAAAATAGTTTCTTATGCGTGGGGGAAAACAAAATGGAAGTCCAGAAGGTGATATTCTACATGTCAACAAATATGCAGCTATTTAGCGGCAGAGTTTGACCAGACCCATTTTTCCTGCCTCCTCGGGTTCAATATTATATCCTTAAATTATTTTTTATTTTGAATGAAAAATCTTTGTTTTTTCACTCACAGATATCAATGATGTTAAGAAGTACAAACCAGGTTACTTGGAGGCTACGCTTAATTGGTTTAGATTGTATAAAGTACCAGAAGGAAAACCAGAAAACAAGTTTGCTTTTAATGGAGAATTTAAAAACAAGGTGAGGTTGATTTTTTTTTTAATGTACTTCCTGATACATATTTACTTCCGTTTCAAGAGTTTTCATTGTGAATGTTCATTCATATGTAGACTGATTTTAAAGTATTTTGATGAATCTTAATAAAGATACCATTTTATCATTTTTGTTTGTACATTTGTTTCAGGAAA